GGGGGGTCACCACAACATGAGGAACTGCATTAAGGGGTCACGGCATTAGGAAGGTTGAGAACCACTGTTTTAGAGGTTAACAAAGACATAGCTATTAATAGCTATCAAATCAAAGACATTAAATATTAACTAGCACTCTGAACTCAAAATTCAATGATAACAACTACAGGTGTAGGACAAAGCAATAAAGTATGTTTTCTTGATATATTGAGAAAATGAAACTAGGGTGTGTCCCACCCTTATAATATCAACAATGAATATGTGAGCCAACTGAAAGAGGCAGGGATTGCCAGTACTTCCTTTGTGACCTTTAGTGACAGGAGGTGATAGTGTTTTTAATACTGATGTCAGAACATAGTCATAGGGTCTAAATAATTTCATGTTCCCCTTCCAGCAGATCCTATGTAATATACTACTGATTTTTTTTCTATGATAAAAGAAAATAATAATACATTTCAAACCAAGTTGCTTGTTCTACAGCAGTTTTCCAAATTATGATCTTCTGAGGCCCCTTCTTCCTTGCCTTATATCCCAAGATCTGATCCCAGATTATCTTCTTTAAACTGGATTATATTAGTCTCAATTGCCAGATAATCTGGGATAAGAAGGTAATCTAGGATCAGACCCTGGAATATAGGGGCAGTGTAGAAATGGCCTAAGAGTTTTGGACTTACCACAATCCCTTATAATTGTTAAAGTCAGCTGAGAGTTGAAATCCAAAACACTTAAGAGAACTAGAGTTTGGGAATCACTGCTCTACAGGCACTTGTCCTTAAACCAGAAGATCAGCTCATAAGGCATTTAGAAATATGACTCACTATTACAAGTGAAATTATATGCTATTTAAGCACTCACAGTTTATTGTTTAACTCACAAATTTAGAGAAGTAGATTTAATTCTGGAAAATGAAAGCTTTGTCTAAAGTAATCCTCCCTTCTATAAACATTAACTGACCTTGACCAAGTTACTGAAAAACAATGACAATATAAGCTGGCAGTAAGAGTAGAAACTTTCCTCTTCCCTCATTTTCACTTCTGCCATTTCATTTACTTAATTGTAATGACTATATCTCACTCTTCCTCCAATGGGTCATCACTTCACACATGAGTCTCTCGTTCCCATGTATTTTCGAGATGCAGGTTTGTCTAGGGCTCATGACTGGCCCAAGTTTACCAAGCAGGCAAGCTTCATGGGCAAGTGGGGATTTAAACTTCATTTTCTCCTAGTCCAGTGGTTCTCAACCTGGGGTCCCCAGATGTTTTTGGCCTACAACTCCCAGAAATCCCAGCCAGTTTACCAGCTGTTAGGATTTCTGGGGGTTGAAGGCTAAAAACATCTGGGGACCCCAGGTTGAGAACCACTGTCCTAGTCTTATACAATGGTTATTAAATCACACTATGTCCCAATTTCTACTTGATCCAATATTATGAATAAAGTTTCTAACAACTTATTATGTGAAATTTCTTCGAATGTTGAAGTAGTTAAGATATATAATGCAAATTCCAACAAAAGTGGATTCTAGCACACTATAAAACATTTTAAGGCAGACTTACATAATAAGAATAGTAATAATAATAATAATAATTTATTTATATTCCATATTATATTCTCCCCAAGGGGACTCAGGGCTGATCACAGTACACATATGTGGCAAATATTCAAAGCCCTTTGGGCAGACAGGACAGAACAGACAGAAAGGAGGTATGTTGTGTATAAATTCTGAACCTCTGAGAAGTACAGCATCTCTTTAATCCTACAACTTTTACTTGCTCTCTGTAATGGCAAAAAGCAATGAGATGTCTCACACAGCTGTCAAGCCATAATCCATGAAAAATATTGTACAAGCCTGATCTAGTGCCAGGTCTCTTATATGTTTCTTAACACTTTGGGTCACTATACAATTAAAACAAACACTTAATTATAAATAAACTTGTTGGATCTTTGAAAACTATTGACTACCTTCATGTACTTCTCCAAAAATTGCTAATAACTGCACTGAAAACCAATTGAATAAAGCACACAAATGTGTTTGTCTACCATCTCTAGCAAAGCAATATATGGGCTATTGAAGTAGTGCATGCTGTGAAAATGGATTGTCTCCCAAGACAGGAGGGAGGACCCTATCACACTACAATGTTGCAGTGCTAGTATTCCACTTTAACTGCCATGGCAACATTTTATGGAATCCTGGGATTTGCAGTTGAGGGAGGGACATTCAAAATTTCCAACGAGAGAGGATTTTAAAATTTTAAATTACAAATTCTAGAATTCCTCTTAATGCTCCCATAGCTGTTTAATAATAGCACTATAACAGTGCAGTGTGATAAGGCCTGAAGGACACGTCACTGTTTCCTCCATAACTGCTAATATTTGTCATCCAACTTGCTGTATTTAGCAGAGATTTATAGCCTTCTCTCAATTTCAAGCTGCACAAAATAGCTATGCAGATAGAACCATATAGGTAAAAGTAAAGGTAAAGTTTTCCCCTGACATTAAGTCTGCCTCTGGAGGGGGTGCTCATCTCAATTTCTAAGCCAAAAAGCCGGCATTGTCCGTAGACGCCTTCAAGGTCACGTGGCTGGCATGACTGCATAGAGCACCATTACCTTCCCACCGGAGCAGTACCTATTGATTTACTCACACATGCATGCTTTTGGGGGTGGGGGGGTGCTCATCTCAATTTCTAAGCTGAAAAGCTGGTGTTGTCCGTAGACACCTTCAAGGTCACGTGGCCGGCATGACTGCATGGAGCACCGTTACCTTCTCACCAGAGCAGTACCTATTGATTTACTCACACTTGCATGTTTTCGAACTGCTAGATTGGCAAAAGCTGGGGTTAACAGCAGGAGCTCACGCCACTCCCTGAATTCGAATCGCCAACTTTTTGGTCAGCAAGTTAATCAATTCAGCAGTTTAACATGCTGCACCACCGTGGGGTCCCATATATCACACAGTAATTCCCTAGAAACTGAAATCAGTGATCAAGTCTTTCAAAACTCTAATAAGAATTTGTGTCCTATATACTCCTATATATGTATATCATATATACATAAAATGAAACAATGTAATAAACACTAATAGAAAATTGTCTGGGCACACTTGTCTAGATTTATCCACAGAGAACGTAACATTATTGTTATTCCTCAACTACCAAAACACATCAGAAAAAGAGGCAAGGAAAGCCTCTTCCATACATGCACCAACAGCTTGAGTGTAGACAACAGCAATTTCTCTACACATAAAAGACAACTCTCTGATTGATATCCTTTACAAATATGCATCTGCACAATCCCAGCTACTTAACATCAGATTACAAACATGCACAATTGCCTGCATTTATCTGATAAGAAGCAAATTTCGGCTCCCATTACATATTAAAAAATATTTATGATTGAACCATTGTTGATTCAGTCAAATTTTCCAGTTACTAGAGTCTGAACAGCAGCCTTTCTTTCCCAACACCTAAAAAGGCATTTTATAAAAAAGAGAATTATGTTAAAAAGTAAACATGTCTATTTTTTAAAACGAATGCCTGCTCTTCTTATTCCAGCAGCAAGTTTCTGCTGTTCATTCATAATTCTGAATAGACAGCAAAGAAAAGGAAGTTATTATTAAAGCACCGGTTTAAATCCTAGAAGTCCTTTTTAAAGCAACAAGGATTGTGACCAGCAAGGATTCCCCTAGCTGGCTTTTGCACTATGTTTGACTTACATTCACAAGGAAGATCTGTAAATCTTTCCATAAGCCTTCCTCAGCCCAAAGATGTCTTGAAGAGTAAAACCAAGGAAGATAGCACAGAGAGAGAGAGACAACATAAAGGCAGGACTGCAGAAGCACCAGGTATTTGTACTTATAAATCCAGGGACTATTTATCCTCCTAAGTAAACAGTTGAGTTAGAGTTTAACTCACCTGTATTAGGAAATGGAAACAGTTCCAAGTATTTTGCTGTGTACTCAAACAACGAAATGAGCTACACCGCCTTCTCTGTGCTCTTCTTGACCTCCCACTGACTTACCTAGACAGGTAAATTCCTCCTCTAGCATTCTTCACTCCACCCTTCTGTTGAGTCTGAACCAATCACATACACTCCCCTAAACTCCTCACTCCAGCTGTTCTCCAAAGGAGGAGGAGGCAAGATCAAGGAGTTCCTGACAAATGTTTTACTCAGTTCTAGTTTTTGTCAGTCAGGTGTAGAGCAAAAAGGCAAACATTTTCTATGAACACACACACACTGACACACCCTTACATAGGTACATTTCTTAACGTGAAATGTTTTTGCAATTAAAAGGAGATGCCGCCCTCTGAAGTAGGAAAGAGGGGAAGACAACAATAATAAATCTGCCAAATGTACATCTGTTAGGAAGACAGTTGTATATTTCCCTTGGTCATTGGGGCTTGTCCCCATAAAAAAGGACACGGAACTGATCTTCTCATATATACATACACACTTCAGATCTATTAGAGTTTGCTATGTAGTGCCAGAGTTTTTCCAGAATGGTTATATGTAATGTGGAACCCTCAATGGCGCAGTGGATCTAAAGGTCGACGGTTCAAATCCAGGAAGCGGGGTAAGCTCTCGCTGTTAGCCCCAGCTTCTGCCAACCTAGCAGTTAAAAAACAGCCAATGTGAGTAGATCAATAGGTACTGCCTTGGCAGGAAGATTTTTGTTTTTTGTGTGTGTCAGGAGCGACTTAAGAAACTGCAAGTCACTTCTGGTGTGAGAGAATTGGCCGTCTGCAAGGATGTTGCCCAGGGAACACCCGGATGTTTTTGATGTTTTACCATCCTTATGGGAGGGTTCTCTCATGTCCCTGCATGGGGAACCGGAGCTAACAGAGGGAGCCCATCCACACTCTCCTTGGATTTGAGCCTGTGATCTGCTGGTCTTCAGTCCTGCCAGCACAAGGGTTTAACCCATTGCGACACCAGGGGCTCCTTGGGACAGGAAAGTAACGGTGTTCCATGCGGTCATGCTGGCCACATGACCTTGAATGTGTCTATGGACAATGGCTCTTTGGCTTAGAAATGGAAATGAGCACCAACTCCTGGAATTGGACTAGACTTAACGTCAAGGGAAAACATTTACCTTTACTATATGCAATGTTACCTGGCTGTTGCAATACTATGTCTGTTATGTTATAGGACAGCACCTTATGCACATGAAACTATCATAACTAGTAAATGGGATTATAGTTATAGTTTAATAATATTGAAATATCATGCCCCCTGAAATTATTATACATGTACAGTGTAAAGACTGCTTGGATTTATTCTAGTGTGCACATTTAGCACTGCTTGTATAGCCTCACATTACTCTAATTTGGCAAGGAAAGTCCTAATTAATTCTCTGCTATCTCAGTTCTTCAGCTGTTTTTAAAATGCTCCAGTTTTCTCTCCCCTCCTTCCAGTTCCCCACTTTATCATCTGCTTATACCAGTTCATGCAAATTAAAATGCAAAAGAGGGACACTGTAGAATTAATGCAGTTTGACATCACTTTAACTGCCATGCTCAATGCTACGGAATCCTGCGAATTGTAGCTTAATGAGGCATCAGCTCTATTTGGCAAAGAAGACTAAAATCTTTGTAAAACTACTACTTCCACATTTCCATAGTATTGAATCATGACAATTAATATGACGTCAAACTGTATTCATTTTACAGTGTAGATGCACGCCCAGTAGGTTCAGGCAAAAGGAGAGGCACTGCTACAGCCTCTCCTGAATTATGTATTCTTCCTCATTTATAACTTTTGCCATCCTGACCACATTCTTATGTTACTTGGCCAAGTCTCAACTTTCACCTATGAAATGGTGGGATATGGACCTAAACACCCCAAATGCACCAGCTCTTGTTTGATCTTGGAAGCTAAGAAGGATCAACTTTGGCTAGTACTTGGGTGGAAGACCACCAATAAATACCAGGTGCTATATTTCAGAGGAAAGAATTGGCAAAACTACTTGATTATTCCTTGCCAAAGAAAACCCCATGAAATATATGCAGTCGCCAGAAGCTGACAGGTGACATATATGGATCTGGAAAAGTTTCAGTTCTTACATACCTATCCTATGTACATGTCATTATTTGAAGTCTCATTACAAATTGATAGACTGCAGCTTTAGCTTGCATTGTGCACTAGTGAAGTTCCTGGGAACCAGCCAATATTATCATTGAACAAACAGACTTTCATAGCCATTCATTGCAAGATTGAATTCATAGCTGTGGGCAGGAGATCTTAGGTGCATCTACACTGCAGAATTATTGCCGTTTGACACCGTTTTAACTGCCATGGAGCAATGCTATGGAATTGTGTGAGCTGTATTTTGTTGAAACATCAGTACTATTAAATAGGAAAGGAGAAAGACCATGTAACACTACCTTTTCCATGATTCCATAGCATTTAGTCATGCCAGTTTAAGGGGTATCAAGCGGCATTAATTCTACTGTGTTCAAACACAGTGGTGAGCTTATTCTCTAGGATATAGATATTAGTATTCTCCTTTGGGGTTGTGATGGCTCAGTGGGTTAAACCACTAAGTTGCAGAACTTGCTGACCAGAAGACTGGCAGTTTGAATCCGTGGGATGGGGTGAGCTCTTGTGGTTACCCTCAGCTTCTGCCAACCTAGCAGTTCGAAAACAGTGAAATGTGAGATCAATAGGTATCACTTTGGCGGGAAGGTAATGGCACTCCATGCAGTCATGCCAGCCACATAACCTTGGAGGCGTCTACAGACAATACCAGCTCTTCGGCTTAGAAATTGAGATGAGCACCACTCCCCAGAGTTGGATTCAACTAAGGTTAACGTCTAGGGAAAACCTTTACCTTTTTAAAATTTTCCTTTGCTTGATGGCCAAATTCTAAAGTGAAGAAGATGATCTTCATGTGATATGGAACTGAATCTTACATATGATACAGAACTCTATCTTGCATGTGAAGAGGATTTACACAGTTCCTTGTGATTCAATGCAACGTTTACCACTAAAATGCAATGTACTGGGAATATAATAAGAAAATGGCTTATAGTTAGATATATGGATCAGCTCTCACATTCCAGATATTTCCTTCATTAACCAACTTGGGTTGGGTCCTAAAGATACATCATGTGGCTGAAACTGAAACCATACTGTGACATCATACAATCACATTGCCACAGTGAATGGACTGAATCCCGACCCATGCAGTGCTTCAGCGTTGTTTACGGAGACAGTTGGAAATACTAATGATGAAGGCCAGCACAAGAAATATTGCAGCTGAGGAGGTGTGACAAATGCAACCACTATTTGTGTATCAAGTTTTAGAGAACATAAGACTGGTCACATTATTCTGGATCTGAGGCAAAAAAGAAATCCTGACATATCTGTTTCTGGCAGTAGAAGGAATATAATAATAACGGGCAGTTTACTGTTTTTCCATCGTACCTCCTCATTAGTTGACTGGGCAAATCCTGGACAGTGTCGGAAAGCCTGGAAGTAATGTCAGTAGCAGAAAATTCAGTTGTAATAACAATGGAACTGCCATTGTGATTTAAATAGAAAATTGTGGCTCCAAGAAACAGACCTTTAGAATTTCAATAAGTTTGAGACACTGTGCACAATAGTTATTTTTTCTTTCCTTTCTTAATGAGTTTTGTATGGAAGCAGCAGTTGAAAAGCACAGGAGAATTACAATGTGAAGTTGCCACTATTGTGTATTCAACACAATAGTGTTCCCTAAATCTATAGTACTATACTCAGAGATAAGATGCATTTAACTCTGTGAGACTTATTTGTAAGTATGCCTAAAACTGCATTCAGTCCAAGAAACCTAAAGCCTTACATACTGATATTAAAATAAAGTTGTGATGAGCTGTAATTCAATTCCATTATGTGTTATTTACAATAGCAGTTAATTTTTTTTATAGATCCATCCCATTTAGTGGTAACACATAGCCTTCCCTGGGAGATCCCAGACACATTTGGGTTGCATCTATACCACATTATCAAACGTAAGGCCCACAGGCTGAATCCAGCCCTCTGCATCATTTTATGTGACCTGTGAGGCTTTCAATGCCAAGCAAATAGTTACATTTATATACGGTGGCTCTTCGAAAGCAACCATAAGACTGATGTGACCCTTGGTGAAAATGATTTTGACACCCCTGATATATACCATAGAATGAATGCAGTTTGGCACCGTTTAACTACCATGCCTCATTGCTGTGGAATCCTGAGGGTTATAGTTTTATAAGGTCTTTAGCTTTATCTACCCAAAAATGCTGGTACCTCACCAAACTAAAATGCCTAGGATTTCATAGCATTGAGCCATGGCACTTAAATTGGTGTCAAACTGCATTCATTCTACGATGTAGATGCAGCCTTACTTTGTTTTTTTTGCCAGTTCTCTCAGCCTGTTGCTCTCTCTCCATCCCAAATAATATTAAACACAGGAAACATCTATAATGACAGTGCAGTGGTGAAGCAGACGTTCAGTTGCCATCCATGCCAGTTGGAAAGATCATCTAGGCAACGAAGAACAATGGATTCATGAAACAAGGCAGCTCTTTCTGATCATTCCAACTTGAGAGACTGCCAGGTACTTCAAACAGAGAAGCAAGCTGCCACTATTTTCAGGTACAACAGTTCCTTTCTTCTGGCTTCTCAGGTATTTCATGAGTGTTCGCAGGCACCACCTTCATTTGGCATGTCGTTCTTCTGCATAATTTGTTGCTGACACCTGAGAAGAGAATCTCGTGGCTTCTATGTGTCCCAACCTATTAATTAGCTCCTTCCAGGATGTGGGTTAGAATATAGTAGTTCATCCTATATTATTGCTCTAGAACAGATTAACATGGAT